ACCGTCCAACATTATTTTGACTTCTGGAATGGTAACCTCTGTCACGCCTCCATACAGCTTATGCAAGATTTTGATTGGCTCCATCACCTTGCAAACAACCTCAAAGCAGTGGTGAACTTGCGTGCGTGAAAGTATTGGGGAAATAGAAGAGTACAGCAGTGGTGTCGATTTTGGAGAAAACCGATCACCACCTGTTAATAGTATGCACTTGAACTTAGCTTACTCGACTGTGCCTAGACTGCACAATCTACTATTGCATATCCTACCTCATCAATACGTAGCACGACAAATTTTTCTGGGCTAATTTGCGATTTCTACACCGCGTTGGCTTTGATATGTGGAATGGACACCAAGTTCTTTTTGGTACATTCTGACATTGGGGTTACAAGTGGACAAGCAGAAGTAGAGGACACATTGGAGCATTTTGCAAAAGAGGCGAACAGATTTACTTTTAACAATATTTCCAGATAAGGAGATAAACATCTTGTTTGTGCAATCAGTAAGAATTTGCCTTCTTGCAGTTTGCTTGTATCTACCCTTAATACATTTATATCTAGGCTTTGGATGGAGTGCCTCTCCTCTGCGTTGGATATCGTCACTTAAACTAATACCGGTCTACACTGAGAGGTGCGCAGAGTGCTTTAGGCTGCGTCTCGACTCCATTTCCACCAAGCCATCACAAGTCAGTAGGAAAATGAAAGCCTCTTTCTCCTCCTCCTCCTCCCCTTCCACTCATTCTTCTTTTTTCAAGTTTAGGGTGTGGTGCCGTCTTTATTGATAGCACCGCATTTGGTAGGATCCAGAGTTAAAAGGAAAAGCATTGTCGAGGAGTGAGTTAGTGAAGTGTTTTATATGAGGTTGCAAGATCGAATTTCCGGTTGAGAAAACGCGTATCTGTACGGATGGCATTGATTCCCTCAGAAAATTTTGTAGTTAAGCTCCATATCCCGGATTTCTATCGAAACATGGAATTCCACTGTATTTAATCGGTCCTTCTGCCAAGTTTGAAATGCCATCTTTAACACCTGCTTGAGTTGATTTTCCCAAAAGCCATACGACTTACTTCTGACTTAGTACTTATTTACAGATCGGTTTAAATGCACAAAGAGGCAGCGCTGAAGAGGCTAATATAGCTACTTGGAAGTATTGTTGGGGGGCTCTAAGATAACGTCAATGGAAGTGAATTCTTAGAGTGGTTATTGTAGTTATGTTGAGTTGACTCTGATATAGCTTCAAGTTGTACATTCCCCTCCCTGCAAATGCAGACACCATCTCAACGCCATCTTTGCCATCAGTCAAGTCGCTTGTGTATTCCGGTGCACTTTTTGCCTTTCAGCGGTAACTCTTAGGCACTAGAGTTCAAGTGAGCCAGGCTGATCCTACTTATGTGTAAGTTAGAGTAGTGTACTTACTGCTTAAGCATAAAAGCATTCGCTTGAACTGGTCGACGAGTATAGCAAGATGCCAGCTCCCATTGCCCTTTGACATGGACATTATTACAGTCTTCGTGTCATTTTAAAGAGCAAATCATCCGCCAATTTGGCTGAATATTCACAAGTAAAATGCACCAGTTTCTAATTGGCATAGTGAATTTGCCCCATAACTATGGCAGTCATTCCTTCTCCCAACAAGTGTCCGACTTTTGAGTCAGCACGGAGAGATGGAACAAGGGTGCTGAAATAGGGTCGCGCATGTTATTAACATCCTCGGCGTCTTTAATTTATAAGGAAAATCAAGCACCCTGCGACTGTGCACCTTTCCGCTTGCGATCGCGCCCATTGTTGCCGCTTGAGGTAATGGTCAAATTCTTGTCTTTCTAATTCACCCAAAGTAGGCAAAAATACCCTCTGTCCAGCTTACTGCACATTTTGTATACATTCGTTACCGCGTCCCCTTATAGCCGTTGCCTACTTATGTTGTTCTATTTTATGCTCTCTCAACACTCATAGTAGTCCATTTGCAAGTGGAAGTGATTGGGATAAATGTACCATCATTACATAGGGGTTGGCAAGATGTACCACAATAGAGCAGTTTGATATTTCCTGGGTCTCATGGTAAATGGGTTATGAAGACCTGTGATACTGTGTCAGAGAAGAAGGGCAGAACTCCAGCCATCCAGAGCGCATGTGGTGCATTGGGATTGCCACATAAGCTCCTGTACTCGCGCATGGTTTCGCTGGATATGGTAATGCGAAGTGGACGAGTTTTTTCACAGGCCAGGAAGGAACGAATATTTGGACAAGCTTTGAGTGCAATAAGCTAGAGGCACTAATCCAGGTAACTAAAATGAGCAGTAAATTGGGTTGTGGATATTTGTTTTGATTTTTAGCGTGAATGTGAAGTACACGCAATCAGTCGTCATGCACAAACGGAAGTGTTATTTACAGTCCCACACTGAGAAGGAGGAGATGATACGAAGTCATGTTGCAAGGCAAAAGCCGCAGTCAAGGAGGACACTCTAAATGACTTAAATAATTTACCGCCTTTAACAAGCAAATGTTCATTTAGTGTGGCTGGTGCTTTGCTCTTGAAAATGAGACAGGTGGTGCTGCAAATTCATGTCGAATAGCAGTCTGAGCAGACGCCTCGCCACAATTTTCGCCTCTTCCTAGATTCCAAGGTTGTTCCATCGGCGGAGGTACTTTGCTTTTGCATAGTAAAATACATATGAGCTTTAAATGTCTTTCCGTTTTATGGTAGTTTCTTAGCCATGATAGAATAAATTTCGACTGTTCAAAGTGTTCCAGAGATAGACAGCACTTTGTTATTTTTAAATACAACGATGTGATGTTATTATGTTTTTGTTTATTGCCGCCACTTACATGTCTAAACCATAATGAATATTTAAGGAATTCCTTCTATGAATTCATCCTATTAAATTAGGCAACCCTTCACCAGATCTGTGGTGATTTGTCACTTCGGTAACCAAATAATTCTTTCCAAACAAATGTCGATACAGTCCATTTTGGGTATGAAACGCATTTCAAAGTCCAAATTTAGTCTAAAGTGCCTGTGAAGTCTCTATCTATTTCAGATCGTATATTTGGATCTCCACCTTTTTCACTGACCCACTCTATATCAAGTACCGAAATCCATCCTCTCATTCATCAAAAGCATGGAATTTGGAGGTCCACTTCAAGTTCTTTTCTGCCATTTTCCATACACCAGTAATACTATGGTGCTAAAATACGCAGATGGAAACGTGATGTTTGACATAGTACATATGCTAGACACGTGAGAGTTGGTGGCCACGTAGCCGGGGCTCTACCAGCATGTAATGTACCCATTCCTCTCAGCACAAAACTACGCTCAGTATTTATTTTGAATACCAAAAGTTCATTTTATCACACCGTTTAAAAATGTGGTTTCCCCATCTGCTTCAGTTTATGGCCAACTTATTGCCCGCGTTAACACTAGTCGAACTTCACTGATGGCACGCTGACAGTGTTTGTAAGTTTGGTTGTGGCGGTCTACTACCAACCAATGGAATAAGCATTGACTCTTGAAATCGTTAAAAAGTGCGACAAATGGAGATGAACTTTAGCGCTGCCGGCACATCTTAAATGAAACCTGCAAACAAAACGCAACAAACTCTTCTTAACTACTGCTTTTGCCTTGCACCATGAAGCATGATTTAAACTCAGCACATTATCATTTCCCCCTTTTATTTGCTTTTGTTTGTGCACGACTACTGGTTGTGTGTACTTCAAATTTACCTCTTACTACACAATTTGAATACCTAGATCACTCCTCTAGCTTATTCGCATCGAAACTGGCCCCTCTACGCCTTACTGCCTCTCGGTGAGACAACTCGTCACTTAGCATTACCTTATGACCTACCCAGTAAGAACGGATACGGAGGCCTGCTTCATTTCGTTACAAACCGTACTAGTATAGAAGGTGTAATATGAATGGATAGTGGAAATGCAAGGAAGGGTGATCATGTGGTGCAGTCTTATTATACAGGCAACACAAACCGACAGGCCGAATATGAGCAGTCTGATAACAATGGCGACGTTCGCTCAAGTCCTACTAGCTGGAACAACTCTGTGCATGTTGGCCGTGACGCAACATGCAGGGTGAGGCGGCGATTGTGCTAACCAAGACCTTTGACACAACTCGCAGATTCTTCCTCCTTCAGGGCACATCCTCCCAACCTCCTTTGAGGCAACACTGACGCACATCTCTGATGGTTAGTCACACGGAGAAACTACAGTCTTAGCAGCACCTAACCAATGGCCACATGCATGCACACCTGTGTTCAGGGACTGTTCACCACGCATGTAAGTCTTTGCACGAGACAAATGGAATGTCAGTTTTGAATGGAAAATCTCGCTTCTATGGCCTGCCCTTTGTACTTACTATCCAATGCAATGGGATGGATCTTTGTGAACTATCCACTGCGTATTCTGTGACAATGAAACGAATTGCTCGAATTGGGAGCAGTTTTTTTAATACCACGGCACTGCATCCTGCAACAACATACACGGGTACAGGAGCTTATGTGGTAATCTTACTGCAGCAAAGCGAAGATTGAATGCTTGTGAGCTGAAGCATGGAAGTGTGCTTGAAGGTACCAGATACTGGGACATCTTGAAAGTCAGTGACCTCGTAGTTGATAGGTTACGAAGAACTGTGATATTACACCGGATGTAGAGTACGAAAGGCAAGCCACTCGAGGTGCGTGTGCCACTTGGTATGTGCGACGACGAAGAAGGAGATGCGGGCAGGTGGTGGTAGATGGAGCTTTTATACAGAAATGTTAGTGGTTGACTATTCGTCAAGTGCTGATCAGGATCGCTCGGATTGCTGCTGTTGCTTACGACCACTGTTGACCTCTGTTCCGACTTCTGGAATGGTAGTCACGGTACACACGAATGGATGATTGTGCCACTTCATGGTGCAAGAGCATGTGCCCAAGCAGCAGATGTGAGAGTGTTGTGGACATCATAGGCTCGCAAACTACCTCCATGCAATTCGTTTTGTTAAATATGCAAAAGTGATGAAGAATAACAACATGCTACCCTTTGAGGCTTATCACACTTCATCTGTTGACATTTGCGTTTGGGTAGAACCATTTCGCCCAACTTTCACCATCTCCCATGCAGACGACCATCGGCGCCAACTCATGGAACCACCGCAAGTAGTGAAGACGGTGGACGGTCAAGGCGGACTTCTGCCCCTTCCTCAACTATCTTCTCTGTTCCGCCCGTTGATGTCTATATTGCAACTATTTTAACATTGATTGGAGATATAAAGTAAAATCAGACAAATCTTTATGTTACCACTCATTGAATCTTGATATAAATGTACTTATGCCTCTCGTGGCAGTTGCAAAATTACACTTTTGAGTACCTTCGCGTGAACTCATGACAATTCCATATCCCCCACTGGGGTAAAAACATTAGGCTCAAAATGGGTGTTCGATTTTGAATAATGAACTTAAGTAAGTACAGCACTCAGTCAATGCATACTCTTGACAAAGCAGTAAAGAATGCATGTCAGGTATCTGCGCACTTGAGCCGCATGTAGGTGCGGCACACGCAATGAAGCAATGAGGCAAGTCCTCAACACCGTTTTAGACATCAGTTTAGGGCAAAATTTTAATGACCTAGTAAGATTTCTTGAAAGGTGACTTCATTTTCCTGTAGCACTCGTCATACAGTGGATAGTTTGCAAAGACCTGAGGCTTTGTAACAGATGCATAAGACAGACGACAACCCAAGCTAGAGAGGTGGTCCATTTCTGCTTCGTGTAAAGCTGAAGAGGTGCATGCGGGCGTGGCAAACAGACCTTGTGTAGAGGTGAGCATGTGATTGGCAATTGGTAAGCTGTTGAACAGACTACAATTTCTCAGTGAGATCGCCCTTTACCTACAGGGGACGAGACAAGGATCTGACTTGATTCTACTTTTTAGGCAGCGAGGAGGCTGCTTGAGGAATGGGCAAAATCAACGATAGTAAGTGGTGACAACCGTCCTGTCAATTAGCTTGTCACATCTTGAGCAATGTTGGCAAGGATGTTCCATCCACTGCTACTTTTACAAAACATTGTCCCGACTGTCTGACTGTCCCACATTTGCTTTTACAATCCTAACTTATTTCACGCATGTCGAGTGGCTCTAGCAGAGCAATGCAATAGTCCCACAAAGCCACCATCATCTCACATCTTTCCTACTCATTCATTACAGACCTTCTTCCATTCAAGCATGGGTTGTCACGAAGTAGAGGAAGCTAGCACATCCTGACATAAATGGAGGTAGTGAAGACCATGGCAACAGCTCGAGTTTTCTTACAGATCGGAAGGCCACATAGCACAATATAAGGTAGGTAGGCAATGGCTCTGAGGGGATACGATATTTAGGGTATGCAAAATGTGCAGTAGACGAGACATAAAGTATATATTTTTTTGGGGTGAATTAGAAAGACAGGCAGTTAACCTTTACTACGAGCGGCAACACCGGGTCAAACCGCAAGCAGAAAGGTGCGCATTCGCAACGTTCTGGATCTTCTTGCTAAATGAAAGACGTCAAAAATAGTAACAGCATGTGCTACCCTTTTCAGCACCCTTTTTTTATCTTGAGTTGTTCCATTTGTTTCATTACCTCCTTGCTCTCTTCAACGTCTGACATTTTTTTAGGAGAAGGAAAGACTGCGATAGCCACGAGGGAAGTTTACTATGCAAGAAAGAAATTGATGCATTTTACTTGTAAATATTCAACCAAGCTGGCGGGTGATTTGCTCTTCCAAATGACATGGAGGCCTAAATGCAGTCTGTGTCGAAGGGCAATCGGTTCCCGCATCTTGCCATACTCGTCGACAAGTTTGAGAATTAATGGCTGTTCCATCAGCGGAGAGAGTAGTGACCAGCTAATTCCGGAAGTCAAAATAATGGTGGATGGTGGTCGTAGGAGGAAGCAACAATCTGAGTGATCCTAATCAACATATGACAAACAGTCAAACACAAAATTGCCTGTATACGAGGTCCGTTTAACACCCACATACATCACCTTCCTCATCTCCACACGATCCGAGTGACAATGAACATAATCGGTGCCTCTGCAAACATTCATGATCTAAGCAATTGTGCTATTCTGTGGTTAATAGTGGCAAAGCGATCCCAGTCATTGGCACTCACAAATGGACTGCCATGTGTCTATCCTAGCTGATTGAATTAACCTCCGCTGCAGCGGCATTGACACTTAAGCCAACACATTCTCCTGTGTGGTTGTAGGAATATTTTCATGACATAGTACGATTGTTTGGAAGTTGGCACCTTTTCATGTGGCAATGATCACGCAGTGGAATCCACCTGTAATGGCGTGAATCTCGAGGTTCTGGACCAGGTATGAGGAATTGCTGCATGTACGCAGCACCACAATGTGGGTTATCATCTTGTTTATCAAATACACTCTATAAGACATCGCATAATTGGGAGCGAAGTGAAGCAGTCAAGATAATGCAGTTGTCGCCTTCCCCTGCTGTACAAGTGGCACTATGTATTGACAGACAGGAATGGTTAGTCGACTTCTTATCAATTTCGGCCTTATTTGTCTTCCAACTTGGCTATCGAGATGCGCGATTGGAGAGTCAATAGGTGCCCACTCAACAAGTCTGCAGTCAACAAATATTTGAGGAGTTTCCCAACATTGTACACTTCGATGCGCACCTACACGTTCCATGTTGCCGATGTAAGTGAATTAGGCGAAATCCAACCGAAGGCATCAACCATTTCCCAGTGGCCATCAATACCACTTCTGGTGTATTCAAGCTTTGCAATGTCGTGGCATCGAGCGACTCTACTGGAAACATGATGCATGATAGGGTGGACCTGTAAGTAGACCTAAACCGAGATGGGTTTGCCTTGTCTACTGCTTCTACCTTGCACCATGAGTTTTAATTTGAATTTAGCACATATAAACTCCTCCTTTTCAGTGTGACACTGCACATAAGGCTTCCATTCGCTCCTGTTGACTGATTGCGTTTCCTCCTCATCTATCCAGATAACAGAACGCATTCCTTCTACCCATTTCGCAGCACATTTTGTGTACCCGGATGTTTCTCTCTAACTTTTAGCCCCTCTAACCAACAACACCATATTTCCTCCTGGTCTCTGACAAAACTCGTCCCATTAGCACTACCGTAACGCCTACCATTTAAGAAGGGTTGTACAAGACCACTTCCATTCGTGACAAGCCATGCAAGCATCAAAGAAGGTTTATTACGAGAGGGAGGGAAAACTGTAAACAGGGTGCTCATGTAGTGCGATCCTATTGCACAGGCAACACAAACCGATAGGCTGAACATCAGCAATCTGACAGTGATGGCAACGTCCGCACAAGTCCTAACGCCTGGAACAACTCTGCACACGTTGGCCGTGACGAGGCGAGTTGCGGAAGGGGCCGAATGTGCGCTTTAAGGCCCTTTGTTAACCTCGCAGATGCTTCCACATTCATTTGGCATTCTTCCAACGACACACGTATCCGACTCCTTCTAATAGAGCTGAAGGCAAATCACACAGGAAAACAGCAGTCTGAACGGCAGATGACCAACAGCCACTCGCACGCACGCACGCACGCCTGTACACAAGGACCGTCCAATAGGCACACACGTCTTCATCTTTGCACAGCACAAATGGCAAATTATTGTCGAATGCACCACCTTGCTACTACCATGGCTTGACTTTGTTCCTCTCCATCTCCTGCAATGCAACAAGTCTTTGTACACTACCCACTGGGTATTCTGTCACACAAAATCGGAATAGCCAAAGTGAAAGCAACGTTTCGGCACCACGGCACTTGATGCTGCATCAACCTGCGCGAGTGTGGCAGCTTATGTGGTAATCCCACTGCAGCAGTTATAAGATTGAATGCGTGTGGATTGAAGCACGGTAATCTGCATGGGAGTTGCAGTGATTGCGACATCATTGATACCATGGAAAATGAAATGGCAAGTTCACCGTCATGAAGTCAGCAGCAAACCCCGTAGTTCATAGGTTACGAAGAATTGTGACATTGCAGCGGATGTAGAAGACAGAAGGCAAACCACTGAAGGTGCGTGTGCCCCGTGGTATGTGCGACGACGTAGAAGGTGATGTGAGCTGGTGGTGACAGACGGAACCTTTATGCAGAAAAGTTAGTAGTCGACGATTCGTCACGTGCTGATCAGGATCGCTCAGATTGCTGCTGCTCCTGCTTACGACCACTGTTGACCTCCATTCCGACTTGTGGAGTGGTAGCCACGGGAAACGCAAATGCATGTTTGTGCCACATCGTGGTGCAAGAGCACGCGTCCAAGCAGCAGACATGAGTGTTACAGACATGATAACCTTGTTAGCTACCTCTATGCAGCCTGTTTTATTGAGTGTGTAAAAGTGATGAAGAACAGAAGCTTGGTTTTCTTCGAAGCACCACCACCTCCCTTGTTTAAGCGTCCATTCATGATGGCTTTAGCTGGCCCTTCGGCGCTGCATTGTGCAGACCTTACATGTGGCACTGAAATCGTCTTAAAATCGCCCAGAGACATAAAATGAACGAGATGAACCTCAGCGTTACTATCCAGTGTTTCTGACAGTGAATGAACCCATACCTCGTGTGACAGGTGCCAAATTACTCTTTTGAATACCTGCGCGTTGCCTCATCACGAGTTACCCATCCTCCTTTGTGGATAGAGCATTAGGCACAAGGGTAAGTGGAGTGTTTGATTTTGACTGAGTGACGCACAAAAGTGCTTTCACATAAACTAAACACTACTTTGGTGTCCACCTGTCAGTGTATACCTTAGCACTGGTAGACCAGAAAAGTGGTACATGGGGAGATGCAGTCAATTGTTCTGTCATTCCTTCACGGAAGTCTTAAATGGAAGGCACCTACTACAGATCAGGTTATTTCCTGTTCTACTTAGAAAACTAATACCTACTGACCACCTTAAGTGACCTCGCACTCATACCATCCTTCTACTCTCTCACTTCCTCCAGTTACGCCACTATTTGGTGCAAACAGCCATCGCAAAGCAGCAAGG